GTCTTCAGATGAAATTACTAATTATGTTTTACGTAAAATTTAAAATGACGGAAGAAAGGACGAAACGGAGAGCGAAAATGTTTACTTAATTCCTCACTCTTCGAAACCTGTTAACGCATACTTCAATCCAAAATTACTAGCAGGTCTGTATCCAACTCTGTTTTGTTACGGGCATGGATCACCTGAAGATCAATCACGTCCAGTTGAAATAAACTTACGTGAACACATACGTTACCTATTGTCCTACAATGATCGACGTTTTGAAAGGAATCACAGCTTTATATTTGTCGTTTTTAATCTATTACAACGACGTGATGCTTGTTTTCATGCTCAATTAATAGCGGCGAAGCCTTATTTTGCGAGCCACTGCTCATGAAATCCAGTCTTTGAATAGTAAAGATATTGAAATGGCCCTTGATCACATTTCCACAAGAACATACAGTTCAGAACCAAATAGTGTGTTAAATAAATTACTGAACCACATCAAAACTATCGGCGGTAGAGTCATGGGCTCAGCATATTCACGTGCAGCCTTGCGCATTCGTATTCATGCACTAATTTTTAATCAAGGTCTCCCCAGTATTTTTCTAACTCTAGATCTAGCCGATATTCATAGTCCCGTGGCACTATATTTTGCGGGTGTCAACCTTGATCTGGACAACATTCGAATAGAGCAGCTTATGACTACATACAAAAGAGCTGAAACTATAGCTTGTCACCCTATAGCTACTGCCAAATTTTTTCATTTATTAATCACAAATATCTTAGATACTATGATTGTTGGTGGTGTTCTTGGGCCAGTAAAAGCTTATTTCGGTACTGTTGAAAATCAGGGACGAGGTTCTCTTCATCTCCATCTCTTCATTTGGCTGGATCATGACATGAAGCAAGTTGATATGAAAGAAAACATTCGGAATACTGACTTTCGTGAAAAATTAAAAGCATATTTAGAAGACATTGTCAAAGAAGATTTAGACCAATTCAAAGACGAATATGTATTTGAGAATTTCGACGGTATAGTGAGTTTTATTTTTATCTAAATGTAATATTTTGCTCTATACTATAGTGGCAAATACATGAAGCACTCCACCGCGATTAACACGAGATAATATATATGCGGCCATAAGTACCATGAATTTATCAGGCTTTAAACAAAATATATATGAATCTGGTATTCTATCAACACCGATGAAAGAATTATCTTCTTCATCGATTTTTCATGCTTCTCCATCGCCAAATAAATTGTTACAAACACCAACGCATGATCGATTGAAATCTGGTAAGAAATAGTTGCCATGAAAACTGACAAAATAGGAATCATGTTTTAGTTACAAATGCTTCACATAATGCATCAGAATGAATTCCAAATTGCTTGCCTACTCCTACAACATCTTATTTCTACGTATTCGTGGAAGATTATAGAAAATATTCAACTTTTACATGAATGCAAAAAGAATCGCGATGAACATTTACTACAAGTTATTGCTGAATCTCAAGTCGAAAATGACGCAATCGATCCAGTACTTTAGCCAGCAAATCAAGGTGTTGATGGTGAATATGATATTGACGACAGCGAGCAGTTACTTGAATTACTAGGAAATTTAGACGAATACACAGCTACTGCGGCCAATGCAAACAAAAAGTCAACAGAAAATAAATATATTGAAGAAACTATCGAAGCAGCCGAAAACGTCGGCCGATTCAGTCATATGAATTGTGAGTATGATTTTAATGTGATCTGTAGGATTGAAAACGATGATATAAAATTTATTATAGCATATCAACAGTCTTCTTTCAATGAATTCATCAATCTCACCGATCGACAACTTGTACCGTTCGTTTCCGCAACACCCGATCTGGTTCGACTCAATACGAAATGGCAAGAACAGCTGAAGCCTGAAAGAGAACGAGTTAGACGAAGTTCGACTACAGGCAATTGTGACAGAATGGATGATACCTTGGATTTAAATGCTGCAAAAGATGCTGTTATAACTGTGGTCAATTCAAACACCTACAACAAAAACATATTTGAAAATTGTGGATCGATTCTTCCAGTAGTTTCAATTACAACAAACTTTCCTACTCAAAAAAGTATTGCCGATGAATTTACACTGAATAGAGAACAGCGAGCTGCATTTATGATAATAACAAGTCATTTAGATGGTGACAGTCGATGTCGCACAGGTATCCTTATATAACAAACAATCATATTCCGAAACATATCATATTTTCAGGTGATAACAGTGGTCAGCTCAGAATGTGCATACCTGGATGTGGTGGCACCGGCAAATCGCAACTGATTCGCGCTCTCACCAAATACTCTCTTGTTACAAAAAGAACGCAAATGGTGCGGAAGCTTGCGCCTACGGGAATTGCTGCGGCTGAAATAGGTGGTATGACGATTCATTCATTTTTAGGTGAGCAGCGTAATTCTGGCAAGGCACGCACCATCAAAGCCGGTGATTTAAAACTCGAAAAAGAATGGAGACTCATCGAATACCTCTTAATTGATGAGATGAGTATGGTTGGCTTAACTCTTCTTGTGAAACTTAACCGAATTATTTCTGCTGCAAAACATGTCGATCCGCAGATTCCTTTCGGTGGTGTGAACGTCATATTCCTTGGCGATTACTTACAATATCGACCTGTATATGATGCGGCCTTGCACACAAATTTCTCATTGTTATCGAAAACGAAATTCAACAACGTGTCGCACGTTCTTTAATTCTTCAAATTAGTTGTGTCGTAAAACTAACGCAACAAATGCGAATGGAGGATATACGATACCTTCAACTGCTCGAACAACTCCGTCACGGGCAATGCAATTACGATGACTATGAATTATTGATGACACGAGTCGTTGGACAGCCATCAGTTGGTTTTCTACGTGATTCACCATGGAATCAATTTTCCATCTTTGTCTTGTTTAAGCTCCTATTCTTGTGTTTCGAAATGAAGTGCGAACGCAATTGAACTGTGAGGCAGCAATTCACAATGCAACACAATCTGGCTACGCACCAATTGTATGCGTTGCTCAAGACACTTGTAAAGGCAAACCAATCGAAGATCCAATATTAATAAAAAAGCTATTAGAACTATCCGATAATAAGACTGAACATTTACCTGGATTATTACCTTTTGTTCCTGGATTGCCTGTTATTTTAACACAAAATATTGCTATTAAACTGGGTCTTATCAACGGGATTAATGGAATCTTTCGACAACTAGTCCATCAGCCCGATTTTATGTCAACAGATGTTTTATTACAAGCATTTCCGAACAACACGCAATATGTTCATTGACCTTTATATGCATTGATTGAAACTGCTCGATCGAAAATTGAATGCAATCTTGAAGAACTTCAACCAAAACTCGTCCCAATACCATTAATGGAACGAACAGTTCGTGTTGACGTTACTGACATTCTCCCGAAAGGTAAAAAGTCAACATCAAATGGAAAAGCAATTTTATCAATAAAACAGCGCGCACTACCATTTGTGCCTGCCTATTGCATCACGACACAAGAGTCAAGGCCAAACGTTGAATAAGGTCGTAATTGATTTAAAACTGCCAAATGAAACTGACGCCATTGCCCGCAGTATATGTATCTTTATCACGTGTAAAACGTTTGGCTGATCTTATTATTTTACGCCAATTCAATTACAAGGTTTTGCTTATCAAACCAAGTAAATCACAAAGCGCCGAAATAGAAAGACTCGATAAACTGTATTTAGGAACACAAACGCGTTTTCCCGATTGGTTTCAATGATTTTTCTGTATTGCACAAAAACTTTTGTTATTCACGTCCGTTTTTCTTTCTATATAATTTCCTTTTTATCGATTTACGCTATGTTTTTTTACATTTAAAGCTTGTTTTTCTTCTGCAATGTCTTGTACATATTAGCTTTGTTCTTATATGGTTAACCATATTGTTGAGTGGTATGTGCTAGATATAGATATTTGCTTGTTTCTATATCTATTTCATTGTTCAGTTTTACCATACTTTAAATATATTTGTCGCATGTAATTGTTCATTAAATTTTCAATTTAAATATCCTTTCCAACAATTCAAAATCATGGTACTCATAGAATCATTCTATGTGACCATGCAATTCAAACAAATGCATACATTTGACTAAAAGGATGTTGGTAAAAAACAATCTTGTACTTGATGTTATGGTTACCCTTACTTCTCATTATGATATGAATATATTTTCTAATTCAACTGCATAGAAGACAGTCCAATATAAATACGAGCACTCAATATCAATTGAAAGCATATATCTCATATTATAGTCACTGTAAGAACGCGTGATATTTGTATCATGAAACGACTTTATAAGCTAATTTAGATTTGACTACCCACCGTTTTACGTTATCGATAACTTTTCATTGAAGAATTAATCTTTCTATTATTTTTTAGCTGAAGAACTAAATACAGTTTTTTGAGTACCACAATGAACAACCAAGAATTCTAGGAAGCTCTTTTTGACAACAACTTGTTTTAGAAATTAGGCGATAACAGTGCTAATTCTTGTCCGAGATTCACAATAAGTCTAAACTGACTATACTATTATAATATTATAGATCATAAGAATAGAACTGTAACAGATGTCTAGCTTTAACTGACATTGATACCAACTCCCTCAACACGGGGAGATAGAGTACAAGTAGTCTTAACTATTCAATTCTGTCGAGGGTCAAGCGAGTCCAAGCGACGAGCGTTACTTGTTATAACGCAAGGATCAATTGTATACAATGGCAAAAACAAATGATTTTCAGATATGTCAAAAATATTTGGACAATTATATTAATACTATCAAGAAAGAAATAGATACATGTCATATTCAACTGAATAATCAAGCTCAATCTTATCCATTAACAACATTATCTTTGGATCAACTTGACCATTATCTTAAGGAATTTGTTGATTGTCAACGAAAATATTTATCAATGAGAAATAGTAAACAATTACAAAAATTTATACATAATTTTCATGAAAATGAATTATTTGAAACTATCTCTACATACCGTCTTAACAGCATAGATCAAGTATGTTTACCTAGTTTTTAATAGAATCAATAATTTTGTTCTTATTCAAAATTTCGTTTTTACGATGAATATATCAACCGATTGATGAGTATACGAGAAAAACAGGCAACAATCTACGAAGATCTTTTAATGTTAAAAATGCGAGTTTTATGTAAATTTTACCAAAAAATTTCGATTAACTAGAAGAATTTATTGCACCTACGATTTATTCACCATTGAATAATGATCAAAAGATGATCGAAGTTAGAAATAAACGTTACAAAACTATTCAAGAAGCAAAACGTATATGGTTAAATGTGTTTCTTAATGCATATGAAGTTCAATTACAAGAATATGATCAACAGTATGAAAATGAATTTTTACAATTGGAATCACACTTACTTAGCAATATCAATATTAATGGTTCATGTGTTTACCAACAAATACAACAACATATGAATTATCAAACAAATAAATTAAAAAAACAAGTTTCTATGAAAATACGATCATTAAGAGGAATCTTAATAAAAAATCGTCGACGTTCATCATCTGCTAAAAATACTGCCGGTGTTTGACCTGAGCCATATCTCGATCTACTTACCGATGTATTTAATCGCTATGAATGGAAATATCTTTCATTTGGTAAATTTTATTTTTTTAACAATTACTTATAATTTCATTTTGTTCTATTTCTTTGCATTGTTTTAGGTCCATCTTGTATACGAATAAATCAAAGTGCTATTCGTCATCGGCATCAACAAGAAATTGCAATTCAGAAAGATCATCAAAGTATTTATGACAAAGTTCGAAGTCATCTAAATGAGCATTATTTTGTTCCAATGACAGCAACCATTCTTAAACAATATTCAAATCAACTACTTCATGATTTAAATCTTTCTTATTTTTCACCATTATCTTATAATGATCAAACCTTAGCATTAAAACAAGCAAGAAAAGTAGTTTCGATTCAACGTAAAATTAAAAAGCATCATTTAATTCTTCGTGTCACTGATAAAGGTTACAATTTTTATATTGGTACAGAAAAAGAATTTGACAAGAAAGCTCAAAATGTTTTTCAAGATACTCATGCTTTTATTGAATTAAAAGAAAATCCATTTAATAAGATTCAAGATAATGTTATTCATTTACTCAATCAAATTCGTGCGAAAAATTTTATTTTTCAATGGCAATGCTATAAAATGATGCCTGATCGAATAAAATGTCAATTAGCTCATTTATATTTTAATCCTAAAACTCATAAGGTATGATAGAAATTTTTTTAAGATTATTATTTGATTTAAATCTGATTTGTATGTCTATCTGAAATTTAGGATGGCGTACCAGTTCGACCAATTGAAAATACTATTAATGCTCCAACGACAAATATATCAAATTATTTAGATGAAATTATTCGACCTATATTTGATAAGGAATGTCAAAATACAACCATTATTGATGGTTCTTCATTAATTCAAGCACTTCATCAATATATGAGAAAAGGTCTTTTTAAATCAACGACATTATTTTGTACTTTTGATATTCGTAATTTATATACTATGTTACCACAAGAAGAAGCCTTAAATATTCTTATTGAATTTCTTAATATTCATGGTTATACTAAAGTCAAAGGAATTCCTTTAGAAACAATAAGATTATTAGCTTCAATTGTATTGAAAGAGAACGTATTTGTCTATGGTAAAAAAATTTATCAACAAGTCCTTGGTGGTGCAATGGGTTCATCATTTACATTGACATTAGCAAATATATTCATGTGGAAATGGCAAAAAGAACTTGTCCGTCGACAGGATATGACAGGTGAATATTATGGACGGTAAGTAGAAGTAAAATTATAATAATAAATAATTTTATTTTGAATACTTTTTGATAGATATATTGATGATGTTTTTATGACATGGAATAAATCGGAAAATGAATTAAAGAAAGTATTAGACAATGCAAATACTTGGCATCCAAATATTAAATTAGAATATAAAATCGGCAAAAGTCTTCCATTTCTTGATATTCTACTTACAAATATCAATGGCACGCTATCAACATCGGTCTATCATAAACCAGCAGCTGAACCCTATGTTGTACCATTTATTTCTGATCATCCTCGACATGTATTCGAAAACATTGTACAAACAAGTCTTCGCCGTGTAATCAAATATTCATCAACTTTTCAATTATTCAATGATGAGAGAAGATATATCAAATCAACATTTTTGTACAATGGGCAAGTTTATTGTTGATACATTTACTATTCTCATAGATTTTTTTCTATAGTTACCCTTCTTCATTTATCGACAAGATATTTCGAAAATTTTTTTCTGGCTTCATACCATCTCGATCATTTCTACCATTTATTGACAATGAAGATCAATTCTTATATATGCGTATTGCATTATCTGGACAACCAAGTCGACAAAAATCTCAAGTGGAAATGAGAATTGCAACACGTACGACCGATAATGAACATTTAATTGAAGAATTGGATAAAAAACATGAATTTACCATTCAAGAAAAAAAGAAACCAAAAGAATTTCAAAATAAACTTATAATTCATTATACACATGAGAAACGATTCAATACACGTAAGCGGGACCTGCATCGTATCTTTCAAGAAACATTCGCAAACACATCAATACTCGAAACGAAGTTGATCGTTGGGAATAGAAATCAGAAAAGCATAATGAAAGAACTAATTCGAAAACGTCCAAAACAGGCAATATTAAAAAACCAAACTAAAGCAAGTATGATCAATGATAAAAAAAAGTGGTCTTTAAAAAATGATATAGTATACACTGATTTATTAATTCTAGATGGAAACCGCGAAAAGAACAGGCATCGTCAACTAAACCAACAAAATAATAAGCGTAAATGAAACAAACATCATCACTATATACATCCATAAACACTTTCCATTCAATAAACTGTTTATGTCATTATTTGTTTTAACCTGATTCCGAATATTCAATAAAACCGAAGTGAGAATTAAAATATTCAATCAAAAGTTCAGATTCTTTTCCCATCCCGAACAGACCTATCAAATTAAGTAAAATTATCTTTCAAAAAATTCAAACTTTCTCATCAAAAACAAAAAAAAAATTCTGAACCATAACGAAATTTGACCCTCTATGATGAATTATTTATAACATTGAATTTTATTTTTCTATTTTAGTTTTGAATTTTATTATTTAAAACTTGAATAGATTAAGCCATCTGATGAGATCCTTAAGCAAGATCGAAACCGGTCATGGCAGCTTCTTCACACTACTGATGATACACGATTAAAGACCATGTGCTTGACTTTAAAATAGAAAAACAAAAATCTATTTATTATTTTTATTTGATTATACGAACTATCATTTTTCTTGGCACGTTTTCTNAATGAGCCAGAAAAACAATTTCAAGCAGTGTTCACATAGGTTACATGTGACTTTTTATACACATGTCAACATCGCCAATTTTTGAGGTGCCAGAAAAATGAATTTTGTTATCGAACGAATTATAGAGCTGGAATTATTTTCTGAATCACACTAGATGCACTTACTATCAGACAAATTTCCGGAACTACAAGAATCACTGGTGGTGGTGCCAAGGGTGCACAAGATAAAGTGTAAGATCTCTTCGAAAATTGATTTTACTCATTCTTAACCTAATTAGCATCCAGCACAATGGGGGAGGAACCATCATCGTCACCGACTTCTACGTGAGTACACTCTATCGATAGGTAATATTGTTTTACAGAATGAATAGGTTCAAGATTTTGGTAAACTTTGGAGATCATGTGGGAACTGCGGAACTCAATATCCACGTCATTTACAATTGAACGGTGTCATTGCAAAGAACGGAAAAGTTCTCGCCGGTGGAAATGGAAACTACAATGGTAAGATAATTTTGCATCTATTTTTTATGCTATAAATTTATCGTGAACAGATACCGTCAGAATCTCGAACACATGTGCTACCAACGTTATTTCCATCTGTGACACTTACAAGGGTTGTAACAATGGTTGTGCACCAGCCAAAATTTCATCAGGCCCTTCGAGTGTCTGCTTGTATAGAACAACGGATATCCGATGTTAAAACGGATCTTTGAATATTGATTATGTTCTTTTCAGAATGGGAAACAATGTATTTCACTTCGATCATACGATGTTAAAACATGATTCAATTGAAGCTATTATTGTCTCACATCAGTGAGCGATTCGAAAACGACTTTCTTGAGGGTGTGGGTGTGGGTGCGGATGCGGATGTTGATGTGTGCTTTCATGCAAATCCCATGCATATATCAACAGCCATGGTTGTTACCACACTGACACGGCAATGAATAAACAATGTCAAATGCAGCGATATGTTTCGCATTATGATTTCTTTTGTAGCTATATAACAGACGTCTAAAAGTGTCAGCTTTCAAAAGCAAATCGACTAAACTGGATTACACATTTTTGACCATTGTAACGTAGTCTAAGATCTCAATTTAGTGATTTTCTAATACTCTGATATGTGCGCTTTCTGATGCACCGGGAGAAAATTCTCTCAGAAGAAAACTGATGGCGCAAAATCAAACTTCTTTCAAAGTATCGGTATATCACGATAATTCCTGTTCTGTTCTGAATGAGAGCAATATAAGATATGATATGGCCTCAAGAGCATGGTCATTGAGTGGCTGAGATTAAAATCTTCAAAACTAAAACGAAAATCGTCAAAAACAAATGACTTTTCACCGGATTTCAAGAGTTTTCATCGAACAAACAAAAACATCAATCGAAATTAGCTTTTTTTTAGAAAACTTAAGAAAATTAAGTTTTGTCATTGAAAGTTGGCTCTTTTAGACATCTACACTTCTTCTTTTATTACTTTACCCTGTTTGCTTTAGAAAAACCATTTGTGTATCACCTTGTAGAGAATCGAACGACGGTTTTTTCTTGTTAAAGTTTGATCTGACAGTGCCAGAACTGAAGGAGCTATTGGGAAAATAGAGAAAAGATTTATTTAATCTAGTCCGCCCCTTATTCGCGTTATATATCTTTTTTTGTATGACACAAGTAATGAGAAAACAGAATAAGGAGACATGAAGTCATTAATTGAGAAGCATCTACGTTTATTCTTAGTCAATTTTCTGCTGAGAAAAACGTTAAAACATTGTTTCTTAATAGTTGTTCTTACTGTAAATGGTTGGCGCGTTTAGTATAATTCAATAGTTTTATCTTTTTTTAATTAAAAATCTGAATATAGTATATTCAAGCTAGAATAACAAATCATATCAATCGACACAGGTGCAAGAGACAAAAAGAACGCTCTTTGATATCAAATGCCATAGTTTAAAATAGTTTGGATTAAAACAAAGAACATCAATCATGATATATATCAGGTGGCACAAAAATCTGTTGTGTAAATTTAAATGCTTTTCTATTAAGAAGAACGCAAGCTATAGAGGTTCGCGTGCTTCTAACACTGAGGAAAATATCTTGTGGTAAAATTATTTGCTGTGAGGATTAGGTCAGTAACTCATTCAGTTGGGATTCTATCGAGCAATCTTCTCTTGTCTGAAAATCGATTGGTTAATGACTCTGATAGAAAAACATGTGGTGATAAAATCTTGAGCATTTCTACTCAACAAATTTTATACAAGAATAACGCATCATCTCGAAATGATATCTGCCGTTTCAGATGTATTTAACTACAGCGAAAATCTTTGTAATTCTTATGGTGTCAATCACCAACATTTGCTCGATTTGGACTGATGCAGTTCCGAATCCTGCCGTTAGAAGTGTACCACGTTTTCGTCCTGTTGTGCCACGACAGCAACTTCCGACAGTCAAAAAGGTCGAAATTTTAAATTGGGCCAAAGCTCAAGAATCCGAGTATGATTCCACGGATGCCATGCTTATAAAGAATTTTACATACTCACCTCTACAATATCATTCAACGTGGCAAGGTAACACAGTTCATCCCTTACGTGACGCAGCCATTTATGCAGTCGCTCTACTTGACAGCGAAGACAATGGAATGGAGAAGCGAGCATTCGATGTTTTGAGGAAAATCTTATTATTACAGGACACGAAAAACGATTCGAAAACATATGGAATTTGGCAATACTACTTGGAAGAACCTCTGGAAAAAATGTCTCCTCCAGATTGGAATTGGGCTGATTTTATAGGTACACAATTGTTACAAGTTGTCATCAATCATCATGAGCGTCTACCAACAGATTTGGCTACAAATATGGCGACGGCACTTATTCACGCTGCTCGTTCCATTCAAAGACGTAACGTTGGACCGAGCTATACGAATATTGCTGTCATGGGTGCTCATGTCACACTGGCCGTGAGTGAAATTTATAATATTACGGACTTACATCAATATGCACTAAGGCGTCTACGAATGTTTGCTAATTATACGAAGGAAAACGGCGGCTTTGAAGAATACAACAGTCCAAGTTATACAGTTGTTGTTGTTGAAGAATTAGGACGACTAAGAATGCATGCAGTCGTCCCTGAAGCTCAACAGCTCGCTGCAGAACTCTACTATATAGCTTGGAAGGAAATTATTGACCATTATCATCCATCGACTGGACAATGGGCTGGTCCACATTCTCGCTCATATCGTACTATTCTGGGTGATGGACATGTTAGATTTCTTAAGCGGTCTATGAAGAATGAATTGGATCCACGTCTACCATTACCTGTTCCCGATGCTTTAAAACCGATTTTTCTATCAAATACAACTATACCACATACGGTGATCAACACATATGCTAAAGGTGTTCCGAATACGAGACAAGATTTAATCGGCACAACCTATCTAGATGTTTCTTGGACGGTTGGAAGCATTAATTGGGGTGAAATGTGGAATCAACGACGACCTCTAGTAGCATACTGGACTACCAAGGACAAAACCTCATATTTTCAACTGAGATTCTTACATGATGGTAATGACTTTTCAGATGCACAATTTTTTAGTGTACAAAAGCAAGGTCAAATTTTGGCTGGTCTGGTGTTGGCAACAGACGGAGGTGACAAGCACATCAGTTTGGATAAAATTAAAAATGCTACAATATCAGCAGCCGATCTTCGTCTACGTTTTGAAATTGGCGGTAGCGATGCAACGAATGCTTCAGTAACAATTCCAATCATTGCAAATCCAATCAAATTAAAATTTGGTAATATGTCACTACAATTGGCAATGCCAAGTATACATTTCGATAACCACAGTACTCAATATTTCAACGTCACCAGAGGCAAGGATCATGTTTATATTGACTATATACTGTTTAATGGTGCTAGAAAAAATATTCAACTGGACACATTGAAAGCAGCCGCCGTTATCGTAGCAGCACAGTTTTCTAACGGTGAGAGTCCTTGGAGTCAGACAATGACTACTTTACAAGGGGATTTAACGCAAACGAAATGGCAAGACTTGTGTCTCGCAATACAAACCAAACCAAGCACCGTCGCACAGTTGCGTAAAACTGTTAAATATGGTTGTCAATAACTTCCACCGTCAAGCTTTTTCTGAACGTTTTTGGGGAAGGGTCAATCATTGGAATTTCTCTATATTCACTTGAAAAAATATACGTAAACAATAATTTCAACTTTATGAATGTATAGTGAGAGGGATGATATGTTTGTAAAATCTGAGAATATATATGAGAGTGTCGATATTGTATACACTGTACCCACACTTACACTTACATTGTGAAGAGCCATATTGTTATTTGAGTTTCAACTTCCACTGATTATCTAGAATGAACAGTGCTTTCTAGACAAAAGCAAAATACATATTTTGTTTTCAAGGTGTAACCTGATGGTTCATGAAAATTTGTTAATCAGGAATCAGTAGAATGTCATGTAGTTATGACAAGACGTTGCAAAGCAAAGAAACATAGAGAAAATCAATATTCAAAAAAACATGCAATTAGAAGTAAGTTTCATTATTATTGAATAATCCAACTAGAATAATTCTGCTCAAAAATTGAGATAAATACTAAATAAATGCATCACGTCTATGTTTATCGTGATTATAAATAAACAAATACCATTCATCACTAGAAATTGGAACACGATCATGAGTAGAGAGTCGTCGATAACAATGACATCGCTTCTAAAATGATTCAATATTTGATCTGTGAATAAGACAAGATCAATCGTATCTAAATGATTTTATTTTTTTTTAAATCTCTTATTATTAACTTTGGATATATCTTACAAATAGTCAACTACTCAAAATTTAGTTGACAATTACATATAATTGGTGCATAAGAAGTGAATTAAACATTAGCTGTTTCACATCAGATAATGTTTTACATCTAAATCGAATAGTTCTAGTAGAAAATATTGAAACCAGAAGAAAAAACGAAATTCAAATCATAATCACTGTCCATTTCAAAAAATGGTGGGTGGGTATTTTTTGAATAACTTTTGATGGGAACAAGATAGCGAGATGGGGGTTTCGCCATTCAAAACCCAAGACCCAAATACATCAACATATTCTAAAATCTGATTGGCTTACAAAAGAACCAATAAGATATATTCCTAATGATCATGTAAGGTATAATATTTTGGAAGCGTTCAGAAGTATGTGTTACGATTTGATTAACCGGGTTGATAAGAAAAAAATATTTTCTTTCGATTTACGCCAGACCCGTGTTTCTAACTGCTTCTTTTCAAGAATTATAATGATTTTCTTGCGACTCCTGGTTTCGACCATTTGACCACAACTCACCGCGAAAGTCATCTTAAGTAGCGTAATCCACCATGCTGAGTCCAATGGTGATATCAGTTTTTTTTTATTTGAAGTTAGCCAACAAGTTTTTTTTCAAGAATTTAAAAAAATCATATATCCGTTGTAACGTATCATATAAGTCTAGATTTCGAAAATTTCAAAATAATGGTGCATCATAATTTCACATCCAAAAACTAAAATCACCATGCTCGACGTGATTATTAATATCTATAAGTACTTGTACCAGCTTTTGTTGATTCAGCTAATCCTGAAATTTTTTACGAATTATTACTATAGTTAAACATGATATAGTCATCAGAGAATATCCAAATTCCAATGTCCAATATAATAAAACGATCAAAAATTTAAACGATTCAGAATAATTTCTTGTAATACACGTTTTGGGTGTGGGTGTGGATAGAGTGTGATTGCAGGTGGCGATCTTCTCTTCACCTCATAACTAACACCCGGGTGTCTCCACCAGCTTCCTCCCATCGTTACATGAAGATCATTGGATCTTTCTTGAAGTACTTTCATCTTGTAGAGATTTTTGCGCTGATCATTTTTTGTTCTGCGTTTTCAACGATTAGTTGAGAAATAAGAAAGATATCGAAGAAACATTGAAAATAAGGTTTTTCACAAAAAATGCAGTCTATTTCGGTTTTACGACGATTTCTCAATGAAGCACTCAATCGA